TGTTGTAGATCATGAAGGGGGGCACATTAAACCATTTTGGGGTCATTAAAAGGGTCTGTGAGCGTGTGAGTGATAAATTCGAGGATGAGGTAAAGGAACTTGGAGTAAAAGCCCATTTTCAAGAAATGCTTTCGTCACTTTTTTTAAAACTGTAATAGTGGCTATTTCTCTGAAGCAATCCCCCAAAATTATGTATCATTCGCAAGAAAAGTGAACACGCTTTATTTGGCTTTTTAAATATTAATATTGGCCCAACGGGGCCCAAGTTATTAAACTTCAAATTTTGGGCGGCTTTTTTTGGCCCACCTTATATCAATATATGTACCAGAACGAAATTCACATCTCCCAAAAGCGAGATTCAGTGTTCTCCACAATCCCGAGGAGATGGAGCATCAAATTCGCTGGAGCGATTCTGTGTTGAGAGAGGAAGAAGTATGCCAAATTTCATTCCTGTTGTTGCTCTCAGAGAGGAATACGAGAAGGTTTAAATTTTGTCGCCAGAAGGGGTTGAAGGAAGGTAATGGGCGCCTGGAATGGAATTTTCCGCGTCACGGCATCTTTCTCCTCTGGAGAGAGTCTCTTCAAAAGGTTCAGATGTCGTATTCGGAAGGCGGGGCAAAATGGACCTTAGAAATGCATCTGAAATAAATATTTGATGCATCGACTTGGGCAAGGTCCTCGATGGTTCGCGCTACCACGCCGCCAGGATGGACGACCCCAGTGATATGTAAGGCTGTGGTGCTACAAGTCTTTTCATGATAAAAGGGAACAAATGGACGGAAATGCTAGAAATTTGCTAGACTTTTATGCTGGCGATGGTTCCCAATTGCAGGCGCCTTCGAACAAAAGCACTCTCGCCAGTATGTAGCCGCTTAACACGGACCTTCCTATCATACGTAAAAACATGTGTGTTCCAGCTTTCCCTGCAATACTTTCAGTTCCGGTTTGTACGTATTCATTTTTCATGGTCCTTTGTTTAATGCATACAAATTCAGGCGGTTAACCGTTTAAATTTGCCACCGTTAGTAAGTATTTCAGGTCATAAATCACGCATATATACAGTATTCTCAGTGTCAGGCACTCAGTGGCAATGTAGTCGCACGCGTGCGGGTTGTGAATGAACGAGTATTCGTCGAATGTGATTAGTCTCTGGCCGTGAACATCGTGCTCGAAAGCAATCGCTACCGTAACTGCGAGGCTTAGCCTACACGATCTCAGTCGGAATTGTGCATATTAGAGATTTACTGCGGCTCTAAGGCAAAACCGGTACAGCCGAAAAAGGCTTAGCTCGAACTCCCATTTATCTGGTGCTGGTACCAAGAAGAGAGGGGGAGAGCCCTTGCAAGATTAAAAAGATGGCAAGCATTACTATTGGGGAAAACTATTGGGCGTAGCGCGAAACGTAGACCTTTCCAGAACGACGGTGAACTCTATAATGAAGAACAAAGTTTCAATTAAGGTAACCATTCGTAGTTCTGTAATGTTTTTCTTATCGGAGAAACCTGTTCTGTTGATGTATCCCTGTTTTGAGGAAATCGCTACTCATGCTGATTTATCAAATCTGCTTGTTTTGTAGATTTTTTAAATGGTTGTTAGACCGGGAATCATTTACTACGTCAGTCAGCTTTTCATTTTGGGATGTACAAAGATAATTTAGTCAAAGTAAGTAAGTACTTCTGATAGCAAGTATTAATTTAATTTGAATTTTGGAGCACTTACTATCGAGAGTCGGCCTTACTTCATGTAACATGCCCGTTTCTTGTACTGTAATCATTAAGCAGAATAATGCTTTATTATTTGCAGAATAATTTGTTCCTTAAATCCTAATTCACTACCGAGAAGTTTCCAGAATTCCCCAAGCGTGCGGTTTTCCGCCAGTCTGGTTTGTGGCAAAAGTATTCCCTTTCGAGTTCGTATGGAAAAGAACGACATCGCTCCACGGCTTTTACTAGGAATTATCGTGCCTTACTTGAAATGGTTCTTACTTGAGACATGGATCCATGCCAGCCATCATCAGGATGCACCCTAGAAACCTCATACCCGAGAAAAATGAAAGAGGATTTGACACGTGTTAATGTCGGTCGGGTATGAATAGATTGAGGACACTCTCATACGAGATGTCTTCCCCTCCTGTCTTTCCTCATGGATTGCGCATAATCAGCTTTGAGCCACGTGGAAATGGAGGAGGAAAACAGCCATGACGTAAACATCTACGACAGCACTGGCATCAACAGCGTGAACTGTTATGAGTTTCTCATTTGCGGCTTTTAACCCTATATTGCGTGTTGTTGAGTAGCATACCGGGATACTTCTTAATATAAAATTGCTGAAGACGCACTGTGGCGAATAGGGAGTTTCCGAAACATCCTTGAGGTTCCCGATTGGGAAGAGCATCAATATTTATTATATTTAGGTTTGTTACCAACTGGAAGCATATTAAAAAGTCCAGGTCAGTGCGAGAAGCTGGATTCGCCTCATTTTGCTGCAAGTTTCTAAATTGTTTACTTATTGTATTAATTGTCTAAAAAAAAAGTTTTGTCATATTCGTTACCTCATATATTTGGGTTAACTCAAAAATAAAGAGACTTTGATGTGAAGAAGTTATCAATGCAATTTTAACTCATAACAATTTGAAAAACTGGAGGATCAATAATCAATGACTGCTACGGTAAAATAATAACTATTATTTCTACGTTTGGGTCAAAATGCAAAATTTTTTTTTGCCATTATATTTTAGTGCGACGCATGGAACACACCAAAGCAAATTTTTGATTTTACGTGTACACAGAATGAAAACGTGACACCAATCCTACCCTTATTCATCAGAATCTATGCTCTTTATGGGGAGATGACACCCTGGGATATTCAATAGTGCAACGCTGGGTGCAACACTTCAACAATTTAATTTAATTGTCACCTCCCCATCTAAAATTCTCTTAGGCGTGTTCCATGCGCCGCGCTAACATGCTTATTTTGGCATGCGCCAGATGTCACGTTATTCCCAAATTCCCGTTCTTTTCTTCCCAACTAAGCAACGAACAAACGCCCTTCATTTCATAAAAGTTGTACTCGATCGACATATGTATGTCACGATGGGGATTATCAATCAAGAAACATTACGCGCTACAACGTACTTCCTCTTCGCCCAAGCACGTGCAGATGAAGGCTATCCTTCCAGTCTCTTCTGAGATGTGAGAAGTGTGAGCGAGATATTAAGTCATAGAGTGTCTCAGTGGATGTCTGTGCATGAATGAAGAGGGTCTCTAGTTGATGTCAAAACAAGTTTTTGCATCACAAATGGTGGTCACCATTGACTTTTCCTTCTATTTTGCAAGTTTCATTTTCTCCTTCCTTTGATAACATCTTCAAGTTTATTCAATTGCGGTGTCAAAGATCCACGGACTACCTTAATGTACTTTAACAGACGAGGAGTCACTTTCGGCTTGTTAAGCAATATCTCCTTCTTAGCTCAACTTCACGCGATGCAGATCATGCAGTGAAATGACTAATTCCTTCGGTAAGTCCGTTGTTGAGTGGTATTCAAGAACATCTGAGGTGGGAGGGAGTTAGGAGGTACTAAAAAAATACGACATTCAGCTAGCTGTTTATGCAACTGGAGACTTCTCCGTGACTAATGTTTTAATATCACGTGAACATTTGTCGTTTGACAGTTAAACGTTTTCCCAAGGAGCCCTTATTTGTCCTAACAGGATCATTATGCTACGTTCATGCCAAATTTGATCTCACTACCTCTCACAATTTTTTTCGAGAGTAGTTCTCATCGAACGACCGACTATACCAGTGATTATACTCAAGAAGCACTTATAAAGATCGAATTCCCTACTGGAGGAATCCCGCAGATTTCGCGTCGTTTTTAAAAAAGACCGTATTCGCCGACGGATACGTATGCATCGCCATAAGTATCCTTCATTGGACGATGGATATCAGTCGGCGGACATCATTTAAACTTCTTATAAGTGATTCAGTAGTTGCTCTGTGCTTGCGACAGACTTCATTGCACTCCGCCGTTTGAATCGCCATGGTGGTGGAGCTTTCTGAATTAGAATCACGAAACTTTACCCGGAATGGGAGAATACTTGGGAGCATCTGCTTGTGGAACATGGGCTCATAGCCACCAGTAGTTCACGTTATGCAAAATTAGAGTCGCTACTTTTGAGGTGCCACTCTTATATAGGTTTTCAATTTGAATCAATAATCATCGACTGCGAAAACAGAGGTTCAATGCTGAAAAAAGGAACTCATATTCTGAAGACCTGTGCACCTCTTGGACAGCACTATTCCCATTTTTTTGCTTTTTGGAAAATTTTGCGGCAGTTCTGCCCACTTTCGAAGTGGTGAACGACTTCAACTTGACTAATGCTGTAGTCTTACCGATCTTGCCTTCACGGTATTATCTAGACCGGTGGTGGGTATTCCCAATACTGAGACATGGCTGGGAAATAGAAAATTAAACCAACTCTTCAGAAAGTAAACCAGTTTTGAAATTAACCCTTACCTCCCTGGAAAGAGAACTAAGTATTCATTTCACCTTATATATATGATGCGGGTAAGATGAACACTCCTTTCGGAAACCATGGAAAAATTGCAAAATATGTATTCTTTAATAGGGGGAAATGTCATAGCTCAGTTGTAGATTGGCCACCTAGTGCCAGGGAGGCCACTGTTCTGACCAGCAGCCCATCTAGCCTAAATTGAGAACACTTACTCCATAGTTCATCACAAATTCAACATTTTCCTTTGAACGTCTCCTGAAGTACACTATGTAGTAGAGTAAGTACGATTGGTGCTTAGTATCGCGGGACTAAATTGTGGAAAATGATGTGAACTCCCCTCCTCAGCCCTGAAATAACCCGTTCCAGAACAATGTGATAAAGCACCTCGCTGCTAAGCGAGATAACTTTCCGAATTCTCTGTTCAGTGAAGTTTTCTCTTGTGTCGCCTATGTTTCAGACTCCTGCGAGCATAGTTTTGGAGCTCCGATGTACATCATATCAGAAGACAAGACATTGAAAATTCCTCTGCGATCCCCAAAACCCACGAATAAAATGATGTTCCCATCTTCCACCTTCCTCTTCCTCTTCATCCTCACCTTACTTTCACAGTTCACAAGACAGGCATGCCCCATCCGAAACATAGAGCCCTGCAATTGCAAAGAAACTAAAGATGGTGTTCAAGTTGAGTGTTCACAAGCCAGCAACGGTGAGGAGATAGCATTTCCTTTCAAGAATGCCTTATGGCCCTCCACTCAACTTAGGTGAGTGATAGTTCACTATCAAAATTCTGCCTCTTTATAATCACCAGCAGTTCCTGCCACGTATCCAAATTCCATAGGAAGCCAACATGACTCCCATGGAGCGCCATGTTGGCTTCCTCAGACACAGCTCCGTCATTCCACGCCAAAACGACCACCCCCCCAGTAGCACCCCAATATTGGGTCAATATATATCGCCAAGATCCGCCAAGATGTATACATCTTGGCTCTGCATTGGCACCCATCTTGGACCATTGTTGGCATTACTGCACGGAAAAACATCGGGCCAATATTGGTGTTAATGTTTTCCCTAATTTTTTTTCTAGTAGAGGCATTCCAATGGTGAAGGCGTTTCACTATACAGTACTTGTACGGCCTGTACTAATATAACTCCTTGCCCATGCAGAAGTCTCTCCTGTGCATAAGCAGGAGACATAGAACAGTACAGAGGTTGACAGTCCCTGAACGTACTAATTGTAGTACATTTCAGGAGATTAACTCCTTATTGTTCTGCGCAGTACTTGTAATTTCAGTCCTTCATTTCCCCATTACGTCCTCAGGATGAAAAAAGGAAAGATTGATTCCACAAATACATTATACATTCTAATACTCTTTTCGGATAGAAGAAACACGCGTTCGTAGGGGCTCTCATAGGGAATATGAGCTTGATTATTTCCTGGACTCCATGATTCTGTCTCGAATATGCGGATAATTAATGATGAATTGTCCGACTTTATTGATTGCTATAATGAGACTAGGCGAGACATATAGCGAGGTACTAAACACTCCTGTGAAGGACAATTACAGGGAAAGAGAGAAGGGTACTTCTGTGTACTGTGAGAAAGGCGAGACCTATACCTCCATCTAGTGGCCTGAAGGGTAACTTCAAGTGCGGTCGGGCACATTGGATCATCGCATCGGTCCAATATTGGATGAATAATCATATAGCAATATCGGAATTTCATTGTTTCCCCAACATTCAGGCAATATTGCCAATATTGGGTGAATGTTAGGGAAACAATGAAATTCCGTTATTTCCTATATCATTATTCATCCAATATTGGACCAATGCGGTGATCCAATTTGCCCGACCGCACTTGAAGTTATCCTTCAGGAGGAATAGGTCTCGCTTTTCTCACAGTACGCAGAAGTACCCTTCCCTCCTTCCCTGTAATCGTCCTTCACGGGAATGTTTAGTTCCTAGCTATATGTCTCGTCTAGTCTCATTATAGCAATCAATAAAGTCGGACAATTCTTCACTTATTATCCGCATATTCGACACAGAATCATGGAATCCAGGGAATAATCAAGTTCATATCCTCTATGAGAGCCCCTACGTACACGGTTTTAATCCATCCGTCAGGAGACTTAGAGCGTGGAAAGTATTTCCGGAATCAATCCTCTGTTTCTTCATCCTGAGGACGAAATGAGGGACTGCATTCACAAGTACTGTGTAGAACAATGAGGAGTTGACCTCCTAAAATGTACTACAATTAATACGTTCAGGGGCTGTCAACCTATGTACTGTTCCATGACTCCTGCTTATGCACGGGAGAGACTTGTGCATGGGCAAGGGGCTATTCTGGTACGTACTAGTACTGCATAGTGAAGTGCCTTCATCAGTGGAGTGCCTCCATTGGAAAAATGACAGAAAATAACGTCAATATTGGCCCAATGTTTTCCCGTGTAGTAAACCCAATAATGGTCCAAGATGGGTGCCAATGTAGAGCCAAGATGTATACATCTTGGCTGATCTTGGCGGTATATATTGACCCAATATTGGGGTGCTACTGGGGCAGGGCTCGACCATGTCGGACTTAGATGAAAATCGGTAACGCATAGAGGAATCTATTTTAGGAAACGACTTTCAACCATTCTTTATCACTCGCACAGATCTTCAGATATATGCATGTGAATATCACCCATTTCTGACCCTGATGCCATAACAGACTGGAATTGTGAAATTGTTTCTGCAATGACTTCTCCTCTAGTTAAGATATAAGCTTCATTCTGGTGCCTTTAAATTAATTCTATAAACCTTTCTCTGTGGCTAGAGCAAGAAGTTTCGCTTGGCCAAACAGTTTTATCAAGTTCAGTGGCCAACATCTACACTTGCCACCTCTGGAGTTTGTTGTCCTAATGCTTCATTCAAAAGAGCATCGTTCGGGACTTCTGACGATACCAATTTCGAGATTGGCACTCGATGACTTGATGAACTATGAATACTTGACTGCAGCAGTAATGCCAAAATTTCACTTGTTCGAACAGTTCGACAAACTTCAGTGACGGACACCAGCACTTGCCCCTCCACGAATCGGAAGTAAAAATACCTCCATGAAAAGCAACTGCTATGCCCTTCCCAAAGATACCTAATGCAAGATTCTCTATTCTTTTATGAGACATAACCCGTTGACAGGAACAACATGGCACAGATGGCTGAACCTAGGAGTAATGGAAATGTAGTCCAATGTTATGCCGCTTTAGAAGGAACATTGTGCTGATCCTTAATCTTAAGCATTTAATCATTTTCCTAGCAGGAAAATTGGACAATATTTCACAAAATGTCAAGCAAATGCTCTTCATTATAATGTTTTTATGTATCAAAAAGTTAATCGTAGTTAATTAAGTAACAAACAATTAGTAACCGTTCTTGCATGTATTATTGTCTAATTTTTGAAGTACCGGCCGTTCCGATTCTCAGAGCTATGAAATGGAACGATTTCAAATCTAGAGGGCAAAGATCGACTCATCATATTAATCAATAATTGTGTCTGTGCCTGCAATCAAGCAACAATTATTTACATATAATTGCCAAATTTTGGAGTACACAAAAGTTTGAACGAACATAGAAAATGAACTGCGGGAAGGTGTTCCATGGAGCATTTATGAAACTCAAAACCAGGATGAATTACAGTCATTCATATCACGTAATTTTTGAGTCGAAATAAGAAAATTGTGTGCATTTAAAATACATTTTTTGTATAATTTTCCCATTATAGATCTACCTATCTCCATGAAATGAGTTGGGCTTCCATAAGTTCAATGTTTAACGTGAGATATACTCTGTATTTCTTGGAGTATTTCGCGAGACTGTGATTTTATCTTAGGTTTAAGTTTGTCTTCTTTCCAATATTAAAAGGCACGTATATGTTATGCCGCTGGACTTGAGTTGAAATTTCGAATTTATTAGTTTCTCGCTTGCCCCCGATAATTTTGTTCGATTAGTCCTCAACGGTAATGCTTTTACCTTCGACTTGCAATGACGTTGCTGTGATTTCATGAAGTATATGTATTTTGTCATTGCGACAGTGCATTCATTACAGTTCCTGGCGGTCTCAATATGCAGATGAAACTGTTGGCATCCTCCATCCGTCTTTTTCCTTGCAGCACATTCAAGCTGACGGACAACAACGCCATAGAGACGATCCCCGAAGATGTCTTTGCGGATTATTCATTCAAGAAAATATGGATGGAAAAGACTGCCATACGAAAAATCCACCCTTCTGCCATCCTCCCTTCGAAAGACCATCTTGAATATTTGGACATTTCCCGTGGCCGACTTGAGGAGTTTCCCTTTAACCTCCTTCCACGTTTGCCCCGACTCAAGTTCCTCAACCTCTACTCCAATTCCTTGACCGTAATCCCAGCACTTAATAGCCCCAGCCTGGAGTATTTCTCAATTTCAGATAATATGGTTACAAGAGTGAAGGAATTCGGATGGAAGACCCCCAACTTGATATATCTTTCCATGAGTGAGGAAGAATAATACTTGTATTTTTCTAATTGTAACCTTTCATGAATGACTCCATTCCCCGTTCTTTTTTTTCCCTTTCTCCCCAACTAGAGGTTCATGCAGTTCAAGCGATCCTAGGATTTTATTTACTCTCGAGAAGGAAAATAAATCTGCCAAAACAGAGAAATATATACGACCTATATAGCTGGAGACTAATGGGACTCCAACAGTTTGCCATCTCATCTCATCCTCAAGGGAGAGAGATTTTAACATTTTCTGGAAGCGAAATTAAACTGAAAAGTAATGGTCTAAATTTAACTAGCGTTGCTGAGATATCGCTCAACGGGGAAGCTGCAATGAAAATGAAAATAAAGAAATAAAAAATACGGAATTCGTTTATGGTGAGGTTCAAAGCAGAACTGCGAAAATGTGCTGAAAAATCTTACATTGAGATTTCATTTTCTTCTTTAGCACATGCGCATAAGAGAACTTCTAGGATGAGAATGAAAGCTCATCTCAGCAGCGCGAATATTTTGCTGAAATTTCCTCCAGAATGAACTGAAGAAATCAAGCATTCATTTTCATTAAATAATTTCAAATTTAATGACCGAAGAAACTCATACTGTAATATATCAGTAAGGATATCAGTGGAATGTGATTGAATTGAGGGACACAATGATCCAATCATCTCATACATTATCGCTACTAAGAAAGAGAATTATCAAACATCATGTCTTGAGAGCCCTTCACCCGTTTCGTATATTTCTTGCTAGACTGGTGTCCTATCCCAAATAAAAAATACACGCTCCACCATATCGAATGGTTTTCTTGCAAATTAGGAGTTTCACTTTTTGACAATTAACGAATTCGTATCGGTCAGAATTGGAAATTCGGAGGCTAATAAATGTTATTATCATATTTCCTTAAGAGGAGAATTGCCTTGAGCAGGTCCATGGTTCCTACACATTTTCCGTATTCCATTTAGATCACAATCCTTTTTCGGTGTTTCCCTCGACAATGATCAATGATTTGAAGAAGCTGGAGAGATTCTACTGTTCTGGCTGCAATCTTGGACCCACTCTCTCGAGCGGACTCTTGAAATTCCGCAGCCCCAAGCTTAAGGTGGTGACGCTGTATGAGAACAACATCTCAAAGCTGAAGCCAAAAGCCATCACAGGTATGGTCCCTTGATCGCTTCCGATGTCCATCTCTAGACTATGTTTGATATGACTCCCTCAAACATAAGTGTTGGGACATCTCAGGAAAATTCTATTCCCAGCCAAGGAGCCACAGATTCCTTGGAATCAACATAAAGCGCAGTAGAAAATCTTAAAAAAAAGAGAGCTTCCTCTGACTTTCTATTTGGGTGTATCATGAAACCTTAAAGCAATCGCGGTGCCATCTATGAAAAGTAGCACTGCAATTGCGTTTTCTCTCGCTCAAGTTCCAATTGTATTCCTCATATTCATGATAGCGCAGCGACTTCGAACTTTACATTTCCTTCCGAACCCAAATTTTACGAGTTCGCCTTGTTTCATGAATGAAAGAGAAAATACTTGTGAGGAATTTTTTGGAAGGTATGTCTAGATACCACAGGACACAATTTTTCAAAAACCTTTTTGAAAGATAAATAAACTTAAGACATCTCTCATGATCCTGACATTCAATTTCTCTGCTTAATTCACTACAGGCTTTTCCTACAGTACATTTCATAATTTGACAATCGTTTATTGTGTACGTTATAGTTTGGCTCGCTATATTGCGGCCACACTTACCCCAAGCAATCCAATACTACCCCCTCAAAAAGTTTTCAACATTTCATTTTAATGCGCGAAAGGCTTCTAATATGAAATTGTTGCCCACAACTGCTATGCCTTTGCGGAGTAACCGCTTATGCTGATGGGGTACAGACCCGTTGTGCTCGCACAATGGAGTCCCACTCAGACGGCTTCCCTTTCCTCATAATCGAACCGAGAAGTGACTCTTTAGGGGACCGTATTTGAATCGACATTGGAACCTTTCTTGGGCACGAGTTTTCTTCTTAACCTGTGGGCTTGTGTGTCTGTGTATTTTTTTCAGAGTGTGATTGGAAAGTGAGTCAGCTTGTACGTTTGAATAGCCTCTGAAGAGTGATGTTTGATAAGAAGGGCACAGCTAGCGCTTGAATGGTCGGTAGGTCCTCATGAAGTGATTGGGTAGTGCATTTTGAATTTCTTTACCATGTGAAATTTTCACTTTTTTGGAGGGATGGGAAACCCTTCCTCTCCATCGTATGGGATGGACTGTAGGACATTTTCCACATTTACTCCAGGTCTCAGGTTTGACACAGAAGTTTATCTAAGCAAGAACAATATCACGGAGCTAGAGCAGGAGACCTTTCTTCCCATACTGGAGGATCTTTGGCATGGAAATGGGTCACTCTTCCTGTCAGGTGAGCAGCATTTTCTTACGACCCATTCTGTCTCTAGTATTCTCTCTTGTATTCTGTCTCTCCCTCAAATATTATTTCGTTCCTTGACCTTCATGCCTTCCAGGCAATCCCATCCAGTGTGGGTGCAAGTTGGCCTGGCTAGTATTTGCTCCGGAGCTATTGAGAGTTGTTAAGGGCACCTGTGAGAACGGGACGGTTCTAAAAACGCTGCATCAAAATTCCTTGAATCATTGCCGCTCGTGTCCCTACTACTGTGTGAGTGTCAAGCAAGACCATTTCTGCGCTCGAGGGACATTAGCTCCCTGGAATCCAAGTAACTGTACATCCGAGAAAGTGTGTTGCAAGTTGGATTTCCGCGAGAAATTGCAATCCGACGAAGGTATGCTTGATCAGAAATCCAAAATATTCCATTCTTTAACTTTCACTTCCATATCCTTATCACATATACTAAATCTATGAACAATTTTGCAGACTAATTGAGAAATTCGTCACAACATGAAGGGCAGAGAAGTTTCATGAAATGGCGACTGAAAGAAAATGGATCATTCGCCGGCAGGCCCATAATATGACGATGCAAATTTCAAACTAGTCACTACTGGCAAGCCTCAACGGCAAAGAAACTATAAACCTGCACCTTACGCGCACGCACCTTTTCAGGGAACTGGTAAAATTCAATGGGTCATACAAAATTGTGAAATCACGAAACTTCCAATTATGAAATTGGAAATTACTCGCTGAAATTAACTTACATATTTTCCCCGGGGGTTGTACCATTAAATAGCATTTTCCTTGAATATACCTAGAGAACCATTTGTACCTAATTTCAGCTTTCAACCCTTTTTGCAACATACCTACTATCAGCATGAGCTGGCGAGTCATTCACTCATTAATGTTTGCATGTCACATGCACAACTTCTTGTTAGCAAAAAAGCTGGAACATATCAAGTGCTTGGTCTTGTGAAGACTTATTTATTACGAGCACGTGATGAATGCGAGACGGTGACCGAAGACGATGGAATATCATCTTTCGCAATTTAATTGGTTCCACGTTTCAACTTTTTTGTAATATGTAATTCGTTGCATATTCAAGTCTTCCTGATTGAGGCTAATCAACTTTTCTTCTGTAAAAAGCAAATCAGATAATAAGCAAATCCAGTAAAATGTTTAACAGCTATCTTTCGGATCAATCGCTTGGGTGTGTCCCGTTATTCCTCCACTTCACTTCGTGCCAATTTTCAGCAAGTTATTTTTCACATTGTTCTAAGGATTCAGCATTTGAATTATCAAGAGATGAATGTGGGATAATTTCCAATATCAGAGACCTTACAGTTTTCTCGCCAATATCTGACTGGTTTTGTCCCATAGCAGAGAGTTAACTTTTGAGTTTTGCGCAGTGTGTGAGGTTAACTCTTCTTCGGTTTGTTTCTCTCTGGGAATTTTTTACGAGCGCGCATAGCTCCGAGAAAGTTGGCTGGTATTCTTTGCTCGTTCATTCATCTGAAAATTTTTTTGCGCGAATCAAAAGTGGAGAGAGCAGAGAATGTTTTCCTATAAAATGTAAGCATCTTCATCATTAATCTAACGGTACAGAAGCCGTTTTCTTGATCGATGTTTGAAGAAAAAATCCGTGGAAATCGGTTTTTATCGTCTTTTGCTAGGTTCGAAAGATGGAGGGGCAAGTCTTTCGCGCATTTATGTGTTGGGGGATCTCAGTCCTTTATTACTGCGTCGATTTGAAAATGATAAGGAATCAAGCTAGACTGGATAAGTGGGAAATATATATTTAAAAATCCCAAGCATGCCGTAAATAGAGACCTTTACGGGTCCCCCTTCAAGTCTCTGCCGAAGAGAAAGGCTTTCATCACTTATATGACTTGTGACAAGAGACGCAGTGCAATGAAGGGCTCTTTCTGGGAGAGCCAATCACGTGAAGGTATTCCGCGCGGGAAGTGCGGCTGCAATTTTTCCAATTTCTTGTTTTCTTCATGACGTCATTCCTTTCTTTTGTAACGCAGACAATTGAAACTTCAAAACCATGTTCTCAACTCAAGTCTTGTAACGTACAACGAGGCCTGATGTGCATATCTACAAACCGACGACAAGATTTGAGGTTGTTTGGCAATTACCATTTTGAAATATATATCAGCCAAAAGTGGTTTCACATCTTCGGAGTTGAAAAAGAAAATGTGGTAAGTTCGTAATCGTAGTCGACCTCGTATCAGTTAGCATCGAGGAAACTCTCTTCATACCATGCTTCTCTCGCCTTAATTCCCGCACTTTCATGAAATTGCTATTGTTTTTTGTTTTTTTTTTGTTTTTTTTTAAATAGTTGCCCCGACTTGGAGGCTGACAAATGACGGAGGCGGGATCGAAGACAATAAAACTGTTCCTGAGTGCAATTCACGAAAATATTGCTGGATAGCAGTCATTACGGACTCCAGTGGACAGAAGATATGCAGTGCAGCTCTCATCGAAGGCAGATATGCCACTACGACTGCTTCCTGCGAACTATTTCAGGAGTACTTTTGAGCTTTGCTTTTTTATGCAGTGTAAAAAACGCAAGGATTTTAATCAAACCTGTCAAATTTTTTCATTGGAGTAATTAATGAATGCGTCTTTAAAATGAGATTTTACCGACTTGAAAAATATTTATGTTTTTGCTCTCTGCAGCTCGTTGAATTGGTAGTCATTAGTGCAGCTTAAGGAATGATTGGAAAATGTATTTTAAACTGAGAAGCTTGCGTGAAAGAAACTTCAAAATTGCATAGGTATCTAAACCAACTTACATCCGTTCATGCAAAGAATAGCAAATGGATAAATACGACTCTGTACCATGCTTTCATAATTTTCCTTTCATGAGGAGGAAAGAGGGGAAATGGTATCTAGATATCCGTTTGGGCCTCTTCTAATCTTTCTCGAATCTCTTGCGAATTTCTGTTGATGCATCCTACAAAGGAGGATAAAAACGATTCAAGACTCTTTTGATAAAATGAGTCACATGGGATAGACGAATGAAGGAGATTGCTAAAAGAAAATAAGGATCATGAAGGATTCAATCCAAAAATGACGTGGTTCCCGTGACTACCTCGAAAGGTAGCGTGGGTTTGAAGTTAAGTTTAAGTTTATGAGGAACTAGATAGTTTCTTTGTTTACATTTGTCTTAGAAAGTCCATTTAAAATTTATTGAACTAGTAAGGTGATTCATTAGTTTTTTACCCCATACTTTCATTTGCAGGGAGGGAAGTGCGATTCCCTCAAGGAAATAAATTACACTGTTAAAACTAACGCCTTTTTTCAGGGAAGTATCTTGACCTCTCTGTCCCAAGTGCTTTCATTCGTCCCCCTTACAAATTATTCACTCCCATCGCGGGGAATTTGGAACCAAGCGGTTGTCCCTTAAAGCATGAACTCATCCGTTGAAGGGATGTGCACCTGGTTCAAAATCCACCCGATTTTTTTAAAAACTCTTCTAAAGGGCATTGTATATGCCAGGCGCCCACAGTATATGGCACGCGAGGACCTTGCCAGCGGCCTGCAAAGATTGGTGGCTTTGAAAGTGCTATAATGCTCCTACACTGTTGGCCACAGTAATGATCAGCCAGAGTAGCAAAAGGTAGGTAGGTGTTCTGGTGGTCGTACGGCCCGCGGATAATCAGTAAAAATTGCAAATGGTCCTATGGTCCTTACAGTCCTTTGAGTTGTCCACCCCTGGTACATGCTAAAATCCGGTAAACGCCGAAGAATCTGAGACAGCAATCAGCATCGTTCCCACAAATTTGCCACAGAAAGTGTGTCGTTCGGTCCTGGACAGATGCCGGTGGAGCATTGCTCAGCATAGGGAGCATTTTAAGCATCACATGGAAATGAAACCATGTTACCTGTTGGGGAAAAATATGCTCTTTTCAATGGTGTAATTGATGTTCCTGGTGTGGTAAGGTCCTTTCCCTGTGAACGTAAGAGCAGTGGTAACAATCTTATGGATCATCCTATAGTCATTGATCTGCCTTTATTTTCGCTTTGACTTTAGACATAACAGACTGCTGGATAAAAAACAAAGGACTTAGCTTTTCAGGCCTCGAGGACATTTTCTTCCCTGATGAAATATTCCAGACGAATCTTTCTCGAGTCCCGTTTAACATGGAACTGTAAGACGTTTGTGGTATGCTACTCTGGATGTATTCCTTCTGTTTGCTAAAACGTATTCTCTTTTGAGGTCTCCAAGTAGAAAGCATTTCAAATTCTGCCTCGTGAGGTAGAATAACCAACATTTAACCATAGATTTCACATGAGGCTGAAAATCCGACTTTAATTAATGCCCTCCGTTGGTCAATCAGCAGCGAATTCGGTACCTAGCAAGCACATGTCTTCTTTTTACCAAAATCTTGCAGAAACTGGTCGACTGATTCATCTGATCATTTATCAGCTGACCAATTTCACTTTTCCCCCTCTTTTCTTGCCGAATATGAGTGATCGCTATCGTGTTCATCTTCCACAGCCGCTCAACCTTTCAAATCGTTTCGCGCCTAAAGGAAACATTACTTCGAGCTTCAGNCTTCTTTCTCATGAGCCAATTTCAATATTTCATGAGTTTCCCCGGCAGATTTGACAAGTTCTTTGTAGCGCTGTACTCATATGTCTTAGTGTGGCATTCAGAGCGATGAATTCTTGAACACCTTCCATATGCGAAGCGTATATCTTCAAATGGTGAATGCTTCAAGCTGTGTACACTTTTGGCCTTTGGGGTACCGCTGACAGTCCTGAACCTTTTAGATTACCACGCATGCAGCATGTACAAATATTCCCAGAATAATATTGGTTGGCTGGTTATTTAAGTCAAGTGCAATCCTTCAACTGTGTCGCTCCACCATAGCAGGGACGATTCCAGGACGCTGTCCCTGCAAGTAGGTGGGAGACCCATTCTCCAAATTAAGCAAGAAAACACCCCAATTTTCTACTTTCGTGAAAGTACTCATGGCAATGACTTGATGATGCTAAATCTGGAAGAGCCTATCGACTCAGATGGAGGAGGGTGCACTCTTCCCATCCGGGATATTCATCGTCGTCACATCTTCACTCAGTGCGAGCTCATTTCTCACACGAGAGGTTGTGGTTGCTTCTAGAATAACTCCATATTCTTCATTCTGAGGATCGGTAAGGTGAGTGGGGCGCTGCTTATTCGAAACAGATGAGGCAGTCGTGACGGTGAAACCGGTCCACTATCGGGGCTCGGTCACGAATTCCAGCGTGTGCGAAGAAAGAATCAGCGGCACCCTCCCGCTGAATTTTGTCTGCGTCTCCTTCAGTTCCAGGTGGTGCGGAGAATCCGGCGCCCCCCTCGTCTGCACGAACGCTGCCTCCTCCTATGTACGGGTACTTGTCATAATGTGATAGACTCCCGCTCCTCTGGAGCAACGGAAGGTAAGCTGCGAATTCATGAACGAGTGTGTAGTTGGTAGGTCACCTGTCCATCCCGATCGATGGCTGTCAAAGGAATGACACTCCCGGTATCTTCGCCACTGTCACTCATTTTCTCTCAAGTGACTTCTTCGAGACCACGACTAGTGGCAGTCATCCACTTCCTGAGAATGTCCCATCTCCACTCCGTAACTCACGAGTCAAATATTATCGGTCACTTCACCGATCGATGGTGTCGTTCTGTCCGATAACATATTCTACCTTATATTTCCAGAATGTGGAAGGAAGAAGCAAGACCCACAGGGGTTAATAGCAAAGGGGAATCCGTCGGGCATGGGAAAGTGGCCGTGGCAGGCAGCTATTTATGATGCCGTGAACGAAGATATCACCTGCGGAGGTGCTCTCATTCAGAAGCAATGGGTTCTAACTGCAGCTCACTGTGTCACTGGCGAAAGTTCTACGAATACTCGGAACCAGACTGAGTTTCGTGTCTATCTCGGAAAGCACTATCGCCATAACTTCACTGACGATAAACAAGTGCAGCTCAGAGAGGTACGGTCCTAATATATTCTCGTGCATTTCGACACCAAATTCTTCAAATCCAGATTTTCGAAACTGTTAGGCCTTGCTTGCAGGTGTCTAAGATTATAGTTCATGAGGATTACCACTATCAGAATTATGACTCTGACATCGCTTTGCTGAAACTTACGGAAGAGGCTAATTTGACCGCACGAGTTCAGTTGGTATGTCTCCCAACACCTCAGGACAATCCCGAGAATAGAATGCTTGGATGGGTGAGATATTTGTTTCCATTTCTAGATATCCTTTTTTCAGAATCTCGTTTCGTGGTATATCATATTTTAAATCTCTTGACAGGTAGCCGGTTGGGGTTACAACGGTTCGGACGTTCATCCAGACGTGCTGATGGAAGCAGAATTGCCGGTGGTGTCGATTAACGATTGCCGTCTGGACATTACTCGTTCCTCAGGGAACCCAACTCTTACTCAGACCCTCACATCGAATATGTTCTGTGGCGGCCACGATATTAAGAGTCCTGAGGAGAGTAAGCATCATTCTTTTCCCTCTGGTTTATAGCTTTCGCGATTATCATGACTTGACCCAGTGATGAGGATTGGGTCGTAGTGTTCCAAACGGTGTGCCCCGGGGATTCGGGCAGTCCTATGGTCTTTCGTTCCGCTGCCTCATGGGGAAGTCCCTGGCAGGTGATGGGGATCGTGAGTCACTTTCTTCGAAGTACTCCATGCTCCTTGAGAGGCCCTGGCTATTACGGCATTTTCACCAACGTCAGTCGGTAAGAGCGGCGATTTCTCGTGTTTTCTCGTCTCCATCTTCGATCTTCTCCCTTTTCCGTATCAGTTGTCACCTTAATCTGTTTTTCTTTTCATTCGCGCCCATTAGATTCATTACATGGATCAAGAATCAAACAGACGGGAATTCATGAAGGCTTTTTCCTTGTACTGACGCCATAACCCACATCCGATTTCAACCCTTTGTTTCACGTGTTCGGATCTTGATAGACATGGGAGCCATGCGCAGCAAATCGGCATTCATCACGTTTGTCGAGTGCCGATCATTGGCTGCAAAATAATATGCAGCCTATGAATGGCCGATGGATTGTAATAATTCATGGATGGTGCGGCTGTTGTACTGACAAAGAAATGATGAAGAGTGTGTGGTTCTTTCAAGCTCTGAACGCATTGAGTCTGCTTAATCTGCTTTGGGACTGTTTCCCCCCGTCTCGTATGTGGCACATCTTCTCTGCTGGTCCTTCCGTCGATTATTATACTCGTAGTTAGTTCTCTAGCTCAAGAAGGGATGCCTCGAAATTATGTTGAATATATTCCACCCTCATTGCATCAATGGCTTCTGTGAGGTTCCACTGTCTCATTGGGGAGCAGGCATGCCTCTGACACTCACTTTAACTAAGACAGTTCTAAAGCCGGAGCGAGATGATGCCTAGATCGCTGTCGCCGCACAATTAGTACAATTCATTCCGTCATTCGATGCACGCCCCATTTATCGTACTACAAGAGTACACGTGCTGGGCATGAGTACCCCACGTAACGAATTGAAACTTCGCTAACTATATAATGCATTTAGCCATTGGCTGCTCAGACGCCATTATAATTGCTTTCGGAGCGACACACAGCGGGAACTGATTTACAGCGCCTCACAGCGGGACGTTAACGAACTAGAATAGATACGGACGGCATCAGCCTCTGCCTAAGAACGGTTGAAATCCAGAAAATCAGAAAATAAAAACATTTCAGTCCGGGAGAGGGAAAAATACCATCAGATGCATGGATCCTGTGACTCAAAGGTGGCGTACATTCCAAATTCAGACGTTGTATGCTGCACTGAAGTAGCGAATTAAACTGTGTAGTTCCATTGTGCTGACCTCGATCCCGCGTACAGCATCTTTCGCATTCGATTTCTGGAGATGGTCGGATTCTCCTTATTGAGTCATTCCATGGCAAGCTGTGCAAAGATAGTTGCTGCACCGGCTGGGATTTGACTGCAAAAAATATACATCATGTACTAGGGGTTATGAGGAACTGATAAATCCGAAATTTTAGTTCCGAAGACTATTCGAGATATGCCCCTTTGAACTTTGGAAGGAAAGTGTGGAATAACCCTTCGGACAAATACAACTCCAAAACAACTAAGGCTAAAAACCGGTGAATGCCTCATTTCAAATCGTGAAGGCAGTGAATTATAAGATATTCAATGGGTTTCTATGCGCCTTAATTAGTTGCTGTTTTGGAAATTTCGCAAAGTATCAAATTTTTAATCTAAAAAAACACAATAAAATGCTTTTATTTACCTCTGAGTCTATCTTCGAGGTATTCCTGGTAGTATTAATATATGAGGCTAATAAAAATGTAATTAATTCATTTTCATGAAGTTTCTAAAACCTGCTATGCGAATTTCAAGTTTCAAATTGCTCAATTTTTTACCAATTATTAATTTCAATAACTTTCATTCAAACCAGGTTTGTACATGATTCTTCTAAGGGATAATTTTAAAACTAATACTGGATATAGACAGATTCCAGAATACTAATGGGTTAGTATGATATGGCAAGGGCTAAACACAACAAATTCTACCTGAACTTATGAGTAAGATGACCGTTGGGTATCAATTCCAGAATTTCCTCATATCCCCTTCATGACCTACCAACTTCAAGTCACTGCTAAAAATAAATTTCTTCAGTTTCTTGCTATCTTAGCTACAGTACAAACGGCAGCTGCTTCAGATGTTCATTGCTTGTACTTTACTCATTAAACATAATGAAGTTGTAAATTTTGTATTTAAATCTCAATTTACAGCATTGTAGTTTACATAATTCCCCATGCTTGTGATTCTCTCCCTCCCTGTTTTGTTGCAAATGGTGTTCGACTTCGAGTTCATAGGGAAAACAGCGACATTGCTCAGTTACTTTTGCTCTGCGGCATTATCGAGCCTTATGGTTACTTTGATTGAGACATGGATACATGTCTGCCAACGTCTCGTGGTGTGAAGGATGCACACTGAAAATATCAACAAATCCCCCTGCAATGGTTGAAAGTGATGGAAAATCACCTGCGGTCATTTACTGACCGCCTGGGATGCTGGAACAGAAAATATGTTAATTTCTAATGTGGGAATTATATTTCTCGTTACGATATCTTTGGAACCATCAGTCCGTAAAAAGCAGCTTTCCTCAAGGATGCCATCCATCCTGCTTGAAAAAGATAGGTATGAAAAGCGAGGGAAATGAAGCGAAACACATTCGGTCGTGCGAAAAAAAAAACACGGTTTTAATAACAACACCGTGCATGCACAATAATTAAGGAAGAACAGCAGAAAAGTAAATGAAACTCGAACAGGCGAAGTCATTCTGAAGTGGAAGTCGAAGAAAAGACAGGTGAAAACCAATGTAAGCGAGAGGGATATGTTGAATGCATCACAGGATGTCAGGCCAGGAGCAGTAAGGACTGAGAAAAATAGAAAAAATGGAAATTCACAGCTCATTGCAACATGAAGAAGCCAAGAAAAGAGTGAAAAGAAACTTAACTTTTTACGAACAGAAAGCTACAAAACAGTATGGGTGACTTTAGGAGGAGATAAATATAACTATAATGCTGCTAAATACAACTTTCTTCAATTATGTCACACAACCGGATGTAACGTGTCGTACCAATCAAATTGTTCTAATGTCTATAAGATTTTACCATTGTTTAAAAGCAGCAAGCAACAAGTGTGCAGTTTGCAACTCGTACATAACAGGCACACGATTTTCTTTGACCGGCGGAAGCCGAAGGCGAGAATACTGCTAGCATTTAACATAGGATAGCATGGAATAACAATCACAGGAGAATACCTACTTTCGTTTGGCTTCCGTTCTTTTCCTATTTTCTCATTTACAACCATTTGTGTCTATCTCCCACTAATGAAATTCGGGACAGAAAATATACCCTTCCAAATGAATACATACAAATCTGAACAATGCAGGCCTGGAAAGGAGAATACGTTTGCCCAAACAGATTCCTCGCCCCATGGCACACTGATCCCTCTTGGCTCCCACCTCATGCATTTCCTATGACCCTGTCCCATCCCCATTCTTGCTAGAACGCGAATTCATTCGGTGGAGGGACAAGAATAGCTATGTCTCGAATGGAGGCTCAAGTTTCTTGACCATTTCTCTTTCCCAGTCTGGAATACCCCACCGCTCAGATTTTTTTGTGGAAATATATCCTTTCCCGGATTTTCGATTTCCTCTCAGCATCATGGTTAACGAAATCTCTTCATCCAGGTTCCTTCTATTTCTTGGGGGAAGTGCTACTCATTTTCCTAGCCCCAAGTCTCAAATCAACATCCCGAAAGATGCAAAGAAGTATCGAATCGTTTTCCTTACGTCAGGGACGTCATGTCTCGACGCATAGAAATGTTCACCGCCTCAACTCAATCGATACGCGAGGTCATGAGCAATAGGTCATGAACGAAGGTGAATCGTGCACAACGACAGCCACTCAAGATCTCATTTTCGAATGGGAACGGGTTTCATGTGCAGCCCATGAAACTCTCCAAACTGAAATCTGAATTCCTTGGAATATTTATGGAAGCGAGAATGTTCACGTAGGTATAGCCTCAAAGTTAAAATACGCCTGGCATAGCGTTATACAGGGTGTCCCACGAGTACCATTTCAAAAATACACATCTACCAAACAGTTGGAACAAAATAGAAGTAACATTAACTGAACGATAGCATGTCATTTGGAATTATCTTTGTCAAAAATGGAGGCATTTCTGAAGTTTGAAAGTGCTTCAAAATGCCCTATGTCAATACATTTGGCATGAGGCTCACGACCAAAATATTGCCGAAACTCCCTTTGGACTGTAAAGGGACTCTCAAAGACTTCCTTCCAGGTAACAACTTTCCTTCGTTGCTCAAGCGCCAAATGTGAAGCCTTTTCTCATGACCGCGAAAGCAAATTAAATGATAAATTAAACGATTAATGAAAGCAAATTAAACTTTTTATGTGCTTAGGTCTGTCTGGAATTCGGAGCGAAAACATGCCGCTTTGGAATTTTTGCCTAAGAGGATTCAACAAGGCGTACCATAAATCGCCCAAAATACATGCACCTTTCTGACATGTTTTTGGAGCAATTTCTTTTTGAGTCTGATTCCAAGTCATTATTGTGAGAAAAAAAAATTCTAAAGTACGTTCATTCCATCATTGCTAAGAAAAGTGACCTGGATGTTGCAGTTTGGAAAATATTGCAGTTTTAAATGGTATAGTGACTTATGGGACACCCTGTATAAGTATTTTTTTCTGCATGTAGGACAGCTTACCGTTCCGGTTCCAGGTGCCGAGACAGTGCCACGTCTTATTACCTGATACATCTGTAGGGCCAGCGACTGTCCCATACTTTCTGAACATCTTTACACGTCAGGGGCGAGCCGCTCCGTCCTTTCCAATCATTTTTGCAGTTGATGAGCACTTCGCTGAACCATTCTCCCTCGTAATCTTCGCAATCGGCTTCATTCGTGCAGCGAAAGCACCATAAGGCACTGGCATATCCTGTATTATAGTGAAGGAAAACCAAAGATACTTAGACTAAGGCATATACATGGGGGTGAACCAGAAAAGACTCGGTTCGATGGTGAATCGACGAGAGTAGATAAACGCCTAGTTTTACAGTTCAATTCCAATACATTTTCTTCAAGAGAAAATAACAGGAATAAACTATCAAAATGAAGTTGCTCTTTCAAATGGAAGTTTTTTTCTTTAAAAAAAATATAAAATCCAAAGCTTCACGAATTTATATGAAACCCCATGATTTCACCACTTAGGGATGAATATGCTAACACGACGAAAGCGCTTGTATCTTTGGGTTCCATTTTCGAAACTGAATGGACGCATAAGCAACAGAAACCGAGCGATCTGGGCCCTAATCCAAATACTTTCCCCTTAAAAACCACCACCTCAACTCTCACGCAGGCCTATTAAGATTGGTGAACATCTCAGTAGTATCAGAACCCCCGTCCCCCCATGCTGACTGCATTCCCAGACTGCTGAGACCTAGCCCTAATCCTCTTTCTCTCCTATGCCCAGGACCTGAATCAATTGATTAACGAAAAATGCACTTTTTAATATATATATATATA